GGAGGAGTGGCCGCTGCCGCAGACCGCGCACGCTTCTGCAGGGAAAAATACTGCCTTGGTTCGGGGTCTAATTGGATATTTACCAGGAAGGAAGGAGAGTTAAAAATAGGGTGACAGCGACTTCAAAGGGTGTTTTTGACTTCTAAGAATAACACCTTTGCTGGCACCGATTTCAGGAATATCAGCTGTGCCTGGGTGTGAGAGACAGAGCAGGCAGAGCAGCTCAGTCGGTAGCCAAGGGAGCCAACCAGGACCTCCTGGCCCAGCTCCACGGGAGCAGCTAAGGAGGGATCTTTGCATCCCTGTGAGCGCCTGTGGGAGCTCAGCTGCATCCGCAGGGACGCAGCGGAGGGGCTCTGGGGAAGATGAAGCCGCCAGCGCCCCGGCATGGGTGGGAGGGGACATGTGGCACCATGGGGACCCCCTCCCCGCGGATGGTGCTGCTTGCCACTGACAGGGCTGACAGCTCCCCAGGCAACATTCGGGCGGCCCAACTTCATCGTCATCCTGGCAGATGATGTGGGCTGGGGGGACCTGGGGGCCAACTGGGCAGAGACGAAGGAGACCCCACATCTGGATGAGTTGGCTGCTGAAGGCACAAGGTAACGTCTGACTCCCTTCCCCAGCCCTCTCCAAGCATCCCTGGTTACCCTGTCAAAGGGGAATTTGCTAGGCAACATTCGGGCGGCCCAACTTCATCGTCATCCTGGCAGATGATGTGGGCTGGGGGGACCTGGGGGCCAACTGGGCAGAGACGAAGGAGACCCCACATCTGGATGAGTTGGCTGCTGAAGGCACAAGGTAACGTCTGACTCCCTTCCCCAGCCCTCTCCAAGCATCCCTGGTTACCCTGTCAAAGGGGAATTTGCTCCCATGGGACCGGCGGGGGGAGGGGGGAGGCCGCCGTGGGTTTTGTGGGATGAGTGCACGAGGAGGGCAGCCAGAGCCCGGCGCCTCGGGGTGCAGCTCCATCCATCCCCTCTGGGACCCGTGACCCGCTCCAGCCCCTCGGGCAGAAGGGGACGCATGCAAGGGGGCAGGGAGGGATGGGGTAGCGTTAGACCACACAGGGTCTTGCGAGCAAAGGGTCCTTCCGTTTTGTAGGTTTGTGGATTTCCACTCGGCTGCATCCACTTGCTCCCCATCCCGTGCCTCGCTGCTCACGGGGCGCCTCGGCGCACGCAACGGGGTGACCCACAACTTCGCCGTCACGTCGGTCGGCGGCCTCCCCCTCAACGAGACCACCCTGTCTGAGGTCCTGCGGGGGGCTGGGTACAGGACAGGGGCTATAGGTAATGCCTGCCCTCCGAGGGGGCGTCTGGATGGGGGAGATGGCGGGGGGAGGGGGCACGAAGGTGCCCATGCCCATCCCTTGGAGAGGAGGTGCAGCAGGTAGGAAGGTGAAACACTGGCAATTAAGGGAAAGTCCAAAGGATCACGTGGGAGAGATTTTGCACATCCCCCTTGGATTTTGCAATCCCAAGCTGAAAAATCTTTGTTTTCAAAGAAAACCATATTGCCTAAAATTCGGACCTGTCCCAGTTCTCCATCTAAACTCCAAGTGCTCCTCCTCACAAGGAATGTGCCGGGTTTTCCTTCGTGAGCGTGATGGTGCACCGCGGCTCTGCCGTCCTGCGTCCCACGCTGGTGTGGTGCCGCTGAGGCCGGCAGTGCCGCGTCATCATGGTCGGAGCTGCTGGCGCCGTGGCTTTGGGCACCCTCCTGTCACCCTGGGTCCCCCCAGCCCCAGCTGGGAGCGAACCCTTGGCACCTGCAGCTCCCGTTGCTTGTGCACGCTGCCCTGGCAGAAAATCCCTTGGTTTCTCCTTTCGCCATAGTTTCTGCCGTTCTCCCTCTTAGATCGGCGCGTTCGGTGGGAGCAGGCGCGTGCCGGAGCTCAGAGGAGGGAGCGGGTTGCTTGGGAGGGGTTACAAAGTCATGTCCTCTGAACACAAGTGCATGAAAGAGCCTTTTAAGCCATCAGTTTGCAGAGGCATGAGATACCTTATGCATTTTTTCTGAGGTTCTGAAAAAAAAAAAGCCCTCTGGAAACGCAGCCAGCACAAACAGGGCCTTGTTGTTAGCTGAAAGCCCCCAGCGCAGCAGGCACCTCGCGGGGGTCGGCCGGCAGTGGCCATAGCCGTGTTAACTCTGAAACGACGTTCTGTGGCTTCCACACAGGCAAGTGGCACCTGGGACACCACGGCCACCATCATCCCAGCTTCCGCGGTAAGGGCTGTGCCG